AAGCTAAAAGCCACGAATTTAATTTTGCAATTAAATTAAAGACATTAGGTCCATTTCATCCTCATATATTAAAAATGTATATATATTAAAAATGTCAATGTTTATGTAGATTAATTTAAATGAGCGATTTTTCAAAACTTAATTCTTCATCGATAAGGAGAATATTCTCTCAGGAAGTTCATTTCCGAATATGCTTCCGACTTTTTCATGTCATCATCAGATTAGGTACGGACAATTGGTGGGTTTAGTCAAATTTTAATTTCTGTTTCTTTAACTAACAATAAATAAGTCGCAATACTTTTTGTTAATGTACCAACACTTATTATTAGTTCTACGACTTTAAAACCCAAAATGTGTTCCACGCGATTCCATCACATACTTCTCACAGCTTATTTTAAACAAAGAATGCCAAAATCTTGGATCATATTTCCTGTATTTTCTCCTGAAATGAACTTCGGACAATTTCTGACTGAATGTTCTCCTCGTCCCAGAACGATTATTGGTTTTTTGGAAAAGTCGATCGTTAAAATGAGTCAACAAAGATGCCTGTCGTTTTTAATAGTATTTGCCTAGAAGAACACTTTTCAGCCTAATATATATATATATATATATATATATATATATATATATATATATATATATATATATATATATATATATGGGGGTATGTATGTATGTATGTATTGCAATTCTGTCTTATATCCTGGCCTTTTCTCTCGCTCTAGATTTTTCCACTCGTCAGCGGTTTTATCAAAGAAAAAAAAATCATAGTTTCAGCAGACATACACGCGCGTGCGCAAAAGATACATGGCATTTTTAACAAGCCCTGTAAAAAAAAAAAAAAAACATTTAAATTAAAACAATATTTTTTCTTCATCTTTTTCGCACCTGCCCTGAAACTATTACAAAAGAGGATGAAGAGTTCCCTCTAGCGGCAAATCTCACGCAATGAGGTTCGACGAGCTAAGACGCTTTTAGCGAAAAGCTAAAGTCTTTAGGCTTAAAAAAAAATCTAAACTCTTAAAAGAAGCAACAAACATTTTGTCGGCAAAAAAAAAAAAAAAAAAATCGTATTCGTAATGAATGTCGTAGCAGGAAAATCATATATTTAAAACAAAAGAAAAGCCCTGAGCGTTCAGTGTTTTGTTTAACAAATATGATATGATGTTTCTCTTTAGTATCATTCTTATGGGAATAATGGGCCATGGAAAGAAGAAGAAGAAGAAGAAGAAGAAGAAGAAGAAGAAGAAGAAGAAGAAGAAGAAGAAGAAGAAGAAGAAGAAGAAGAAGAAGAAGAAGAAGAAGAAGAAGAAGAAGAAGAAGAAGAAGAAGAAGAAGAAGAAGAAGAAGAAGAAGAAGAAGAAGAAGAAGAAGAAGAAGAAGAAGAAGAAGAAGAAGAAGAAGAAGAAGAAGAAGAAGAAGAAGAAGAAGAAGAAGAAGAAGAAGAAGAAGAAGAAGAAGAAGAAGAAGAAGAAGAAGAAGAAGAAGAAGAAGAAGAAGAAGAAGAAGAAGAAGAAGAAGAAGAAGAAGAAGAAGAAGAAGAAGAAGAAGAAGAAGAAGAAGAAGAAGAAGAAGAAGAAGAAGAAGAAGAAGAAGAAGAAGAAGAAGAAGAAGAAGAAGAAGAAGAAGAAGAAGAAGAAGAAGAAGAAGAAGAAGAAGAAGAAGAAGAAGAAGAAGAAGAAGAAGAAGAAGAAGAAGAAGAAGAAGAAGAAGAAGAAGAAGAAGAAGAAGAAGAAGAAGAAGAAGAAGAAGAAGAAGAAGAAGAAGAAGAAGAAGAAGAAGAAGAAGAAGAAGAAGAAGAAGAAGAAGAAGAAGAAGAAGAAGAAGAAGAAGAAGAAGAAGAAGAAGAAGAAGAAGAAGAAGAAGAAGAAGAAGAAGAAGAAGAAGAAGAAGAAGAAGAAGAAGAAGAAGAAGAAGAAGAAGAAGAAGAAGAAGAAGAAGAAGAAGAAGAAGAAGAAGAAGAAGAAGAAGAAGAAGAAGAAGAAGAAGAAGAAGAAGAAGAAGAAGAAGAAGAAGAAGAAGAAGAAGAAGAAGAAGAAGAATAAGAAGAAGAAGAAGAAGAAGAAGAAGAAGAAGAAGAAGAAGAAGAAGAAGAAGAAGAAAAAGAAGAAGAAGAAGAAGAAGAATCATATGAAGAAAAAGGAGAATAATTAAATGAAAAAGATGATGAAATAAAAGAAGAAGAAGATTAGTTGAAAAATGCCAAATAAAAAAAACGTTAATAATATATTTCTCTGTTAAGACTCGAGGGTATTGTAGTAAATATACTGTCGTCAGTGTTTCAATATCACACTTGGGACATTGATTTTTTTTTCTGTGACGTTTCGCAGAAATATATTTACTTTCTGAAACAAAAGAATATCATATTTTTTATTCCGAGCCATGAAAAAGATTATACACATATTTATGGATGCATATCGAGGCGTGATGGTTAACATTCCTGACTCGCAGACGAATTCGTTCATGCGGAGAGTTCGATCCTTATTAACGGCATTCAAGTGTCACCCTGTTCCTAATGAACGCAATTTTAATAAGAATCACGAAAGTACTTACCGCTAAGAGATAGTTATCAAGCCAATCACGCAGACAGGCTCGTGTCGTTAGTAAATTTATTCCTATAAACGTGGCCTTGTGTCAGACTAATTTTTGTTTAATAAATCCTATTATATTGTAATCTTAGTAAATTTTTATGAAGTTTTGAATCCATTTTCTTTTAATAAATGATAAATAAATGTTTATGTTTTATACGATTTAATATGGCTCATTAATGTAGGAAAAGAGAATATATGTTTTAATAAATCCTTTTATATTATAATGTTATATAAAATCATTAAATTTCAAATAATCATTTTTGTTTTCAGTAAATCATTTATTGAATGAAAGTGTTGAAGTATTTGTTTAATAAATCCTATTATATATGTCCCAGAATAAAAGTTTTGACGATATTTAGATTGATGTATTTGTTTAATAAATCCTACTCGTTATATAGGTAATCATTAGAGAATGAAAAGTGTTGGCGTATTTGTTTAATAAATCCTACTCGTTATATATGTAATCATTAGAGAGAATGAAAGTGTATTTGTTTTTATAAATCCTACTCGTTATATATGTAATCATTAGAGAGAATGAAAGTGAAAATAAATCCTATTCGTGAGAATTGTTGGCGTATTTGTTTAATAAATCCTATTCGTTATATATGTAATCATTAGAGAGAATGAAAGTCTTGATGTATTTGTTTAATAAATCCTACTCGTTATATATGTAATCATTAGAGAGAATGAAAGTGTTGGCGTATTTGTTTAATAAATCCTCTCGTTATATATGTAATCATTAGAGAGAATGAAAGTGTTGATGTATTTGTTTAATAAATCCTATTCGTTATATATGTAATCATTAGAGAATGAAAGTGTTGATATTTGTTTAATAAATCCTAAATATATGTAATCATTAGAGAGAATGAAAGTGTTGATGTATTTGTTTAATAAATCCTACTCGTTATATATGTAATCATTAGAGAATGAAAGTGTTGATGTATTTGTTTAATAAATCCTACTCGTTATATATGTAATCATTAGAGAGAATGAAAGTGTTGACGTATTTGTTTAATAAATCCTACTCGTTATATATGTAATCATTAGAGAGAATGAAAGTGTTGATGTATTTGTTTAATAAATCCTACTCGTTATATATGTAATCATTAGAGAGAATGAAAGTGTTGATGTATTTAATAAATCCTACTCGTTATATATAAATCATTAGAGAATGAAAGTGTTGGCCTGTTGATGTATTTGTTTAATAAATCCTACTCGTTATATATGCAATCATTAGAGAGAATGAAAGTGTTGACGTATTTGTTTAATAAATCCTACTTCGTTATATATATATGTAATCATTAGAGAATGAAAGTTTGATGTTGGCGAATAAATCCTACTCGTATTTGTTTAATAAATCCTTTGTTTAATAAATCCTACTCGTTATATATGTAATCATTAGAGAGAATGAAAGTGTTGATGTATTTGTTTAATAAATCCTACTCGTTATATATGTAATCATTAGAGAGAATGAAAGTGTTGATGTATTTGTTTAATAAATCCTACTCGTTATATATGTAATCATTAGAGAGAATGAAAGTGTTGATGTATTTGTTTAATAAATCCTACTCGTTATATATGTAATCATTAGAGAGAATGAAAGTGTTGATGTATTTGTTTAATAAATCCTACTCGTTATATATGTAATCATTAGAGAGAATGAAAGTGTTGATGTATTTGTTTAATAAATCCTACTCGTTATATATGTAATCATTAGAGAAATGAAAGTGTTGATGTATTTGAAAAATCCTACTCGTTATTATGTTTTAGAGAGAATAAATCCTATTTGTTTAATTATATATATGTAATCATTAGAGAGAATGAAAGTGTTGATGTATTTGTTTAATAAATCCTAAATTATATATGTAATCATTAGAGAGAATGAAAGTGTTGATGTATTTGTTTAATAAATCCTACTCGTTATATATGCAATCATTAGAGAGAATGAAAGTGTTGATGTATTTGTTTAATAAATCCTACTCGTTATATATGTAATCATTAGAGAGAATGAAAGTGTTGATGTATTTGTTTAATAAATCCTACTCGTTATATATGTAATCATTAGAGAGAATGAAAGTGTTGATTTATTTAATAAAATCATTGTTTAATAAATCCTACTCGTTATATATATGTAATCATTATTAGAGAGAATGAAAGTGTTGACGTATTTGTTTAATAAATCCTACCTATATATGTAATCATTAGAGAGAATGAAAGTGTTGATGTATTTGTTTAATAAATCCTACTCGTTATATATGCAATCATTAGAGAGAATGAAAGTGTTGACGTATTTGTTTAATAAATCCTACTCGTTATATATGCAATCATTAGAGAGAATGAAAGTGTTGGCGTATTTGTTTAATAAATCCTACTCGTTATATATGTAATCATTAGAGAGAATGAAAGTGTTGAATAAATCCTACTCGTATTTGTTTTAGATAAATCCTATTTGTTAATAAATTATATATATGTAATCATTAGAGAGAATGAAAGTGTTGACGTATTTGTTTAATAAATCCTACTCGTTATATATGTAATCATTAGAGAGAATGAAAGTGTTGATGTATTTGTTTAATAAATCCTACTCGTTATATATGTAATCATTAGAGAGAATGAAAGTGTTGATGCATTTGTTTAATAAATCCTACTCGTTATATATGCAATCATTAGAGAGAATGAAAGTGTTGGCGTATTTGTTTAATAAATCCTACTCGTTATATATGTAATCATTAGAGAGAATGAAAGTGTTGATGTATTTGTTTAATAAATCCTACTCGTTATATATGCAATCATTAGAGAGAATGAAAGTGTTGATGTATTTGTTTAATAAATCCTATATCGTTAAATCAATATATATGTAATCATTAGATATATGATGAAGAGAGAATGTTGATGTATTTGTTTAATAAATCCTACTCGTTATATATGTAATCATTAGAGAGAATGAAAGTGTTGATGTATTTGTTTAATAAATCCTACTCGTTATATATGTAATCATTAGAGAGAATGAAAGTGTTGATGTATTTGTTTAATAAATCCTACTCGTTATATATGCAATCATTAGAGAATGAAAGTGTTGAAATAAATCCTACTCGTTATATATGTAATCATTAGAGAGAATGAAAGTGTTGGCGTATTTGTTTAATAAATCCTACTCGTTATATATGTAATCATTAGAGAGAATGAAAGTGTTGATGTATTTGTTTAATAAACCCTAAATCCTGAAAGTCGTTATATATGTAATCATTAGAGTTTAATAAATCCTAGAATGAAATTAGAGAATGAAAGTTGATGTATTTGTTTAATAAATCCTACTCGTTATATATGTAATCATTAGAGAGAATGAAAGTGTTGATGTATTTGTTTAATAAATCCTACTCGTTATATATGTAATCATTAGAGAGAATGAAAGTGTTGATGTATTTGTTTAATAAATCCTACTCGTTATATATGTAATCATTAGAGAGAATGAAAGTGTTGACGTATTTGTTTAATAAATCCTATCGTATTATGTTCATTAAGAGAATAAATGTTGATGTATTTGTTTAATAAATCCTACTCGTTATATATGTAATCATTAGAGAGAATGAAAGTGTTGATGTATTTGTTTAATAAATCCTACTCGTTATATATGTAATCAATTAGAGAGAATGAAAGTGTTGATTTATTTGTTTAATAAATCCTACTCGTTATATATGTAATCATTAGAGAGAATGAAAGTGTTGATGTATTTGTTTAATAAATCCTACTCGTTATATAATCATTAGAGAGAATAATCATTAGAGATATGAATCATTAGATGAAAGTGTTGATGTATTTGTTTAATAAATCCTACTCGTTATATATGCAATCATTAGAGAGAATGAAAGTGTTGACGTATTTGTTTAATAAATCCTACTCGTTATATATGTAATCATTAGAGAGAATGAAAGTGTTGATGTATTTGTTTAATAAATCCTACTCGTTATATATGCAATCATTAGAGAGAATGAAAGTGTTGGCGTATTTGTTTAATAAATCCTACTCGTTATATATGCAATCATTAGAGAGAATGAAAGTGTTGACGTATTTGTTTAATAAATCCTACTCGTTATATATGTAATCAATCATTTGTTTAATAAACCTACTCGTTAGCAATCATTAGAGAATGAAAGTGTTGATGTATTTGTTTAATAAATCCTACTCGTTATATATGTAATCATTAGAGAGAATGAAAGTGTTGATGCATTTGTTTAATAAATCCTACTCGTTATATATGTAATCATTAGAGAGAATGAAAAGTGTGATGTATATGCAATCATTAGAGAGAATGAAAGTGTTGATGTATTTGTTTAATAAATCCTACTCGTTATATATGTAATCATTAGAGAGAATGAAAGTGTTGATGCATTTGTTTAATAAATCCTACTCGTTATATATGCAATCATTAGAGAGAATGAAAGTGTTGACGTATTTGTTTAATAAATCCTACTCGTTATATATGTAATCATTAGAGAGAATGAAAGTGTTGATGCATTTGTTTAATAAATCCTACTGTTATATCATGTAATCATTAGAGAGAATGAAAGTGTTGACGTATTTGTTTAATAAATCCTACTCGTTATATATGTTCATTAGAGAGAATGAAATTTGTTTAATAAATCCTACTCGTTATATATGTAATCATTAGAGAGAATGAAAGTGTTGATGTATTTGTTTAATAAATCCTACTCGTTATATATGCAATCATTAGAGAGAATGAAAGTGTTGGCGTATTTGTTTAATAAATCCTACTCGTTATATATGCAATCATTAGAGAGAATGAAAGTGTTGACGTATTTGTTTAATAAATCCTACTCGTTATATATGCAATCATTAGTGAAAGTGTTGATATTTGTTTAATAAATCCTACTCGTTATATATGTAATCA